GGAATTAAAAACACTGCTCTGTAAATCAGGAATTCTTTGGAAAAACCTCTATTTTACGTGAGTCCTTATAACTTTTCTTTTCCAGTTTGAGTATAAACTGAAAAGCTGTTACAGAGTAAGACAACTTTTTAAGCCTTAAGCCTGAAGAGTTATTACAGAGTAAAATCACTCCCCCATTGGGCATGCCCAGAATTCAGGGGGAAATCTGCTTTGAAGTTGTTCTGATGGCCCTGGACCAGATGCTCTAAGGTGGCCAAAAACCTCTGTCTACACCCACTTAGCAGATTTCTGGCTCTTTATCAGGGACTAAGGTTTATTTGCAGAAATGAATCATTTCCTTCAAAATATCCTTTACCCTATTTACATGCTTGCATATTCCTTCCATTCTCTCTTCCCCCTACAGCTTTACTAAGGGAATTAATTATCTAGAAGAACAGGAACATACAGTAAGTACATCTGAGATGCAGGATGAGACACAGTATGTCATCTATTAGGCCTGGCTAAGACCAGCAGCTGATGCTAAATGGGAAGGAACATGCACCAAATGTTTTTTAATCACAAAGTTAGTAATTAATTGCTCTTTAAAATACATTTTATGCTTCTTTCTGTCTGTGTACATGAAACGCACATTTATTACATGCCAAAAATTACAACATTATGGTTTAAATGTGACTGGCACGGAAGTCCGGAAATCAGAGTTAATGTTCCCACAGCAACTTTAATTCTGTCCGTGCACACATGTAGAGCTCTAATCGTCTTCCGTTCCAGGATAATACATATAGATGGTTTGGGAAGGGAAGCTAAAGACCCATATCCTCAACTGTAGTTACAGGAAAAAAACAAAGGATAAAAGCTGTGCTCCTTTCCACGTACGTGGATGAAAAACAATGTCCCCACGCCTGGTGTTGTGTAATCTGGGAATGAAAGAATCTGCTATAATGCTGGGACTCAAGGGGACAGTTTCTATTGCTGTGGGAACCTGAACTTTGCATTTCCTGACTTTGGGGTAATTAAAATGTCAGCCTTAATGTGGCATTAATGGAGTTTGCCATAAAAAATCCTCTTTGTTTTGTTCTCTAAAAAAATTGCTTAAAAGTTCACACTGAACCAAGTGTACTGATATCTTCAGGCTTGGGGACTGAGGCAAAGGGGTGGGAGGGGGAAGGCCAATGAAGGTGGACGGCAAGAGACAGCCAAGGAAGGACCTACCCGACTCCTCGACAGCGTTCAGCCCGGCAGGGTCATGCTACCTACCGAGCTAAAGTTAAACCCACCCTCACAACAGTTTGGTAATGTGTAAAGGTTAAATTAAAAATAAATAAAAACTGCTAATGCGTAAGCACATCTTGGCAAGGACACAAAAAATGAGACGATCTGATGAGGCCAGTGCAAAACCTGAGAAGGTAAGTAGCCACGGATGCCAGCTTCCAACGAAACAAAGACATTGGACTTAGGTGGTTCTACAGCCCAAAGCAGGGAGACTGCCAACGGGGGTGGGATGGGGGTGGAGAATCGCTTCTCCCTTCAGTGGGAGCCTTATTTGGGGGAAAACAAAATGGGAGCATCTTACACATGTACATGACTGTGATGTGCTACGGCTTGATAGCTGTCAAGAGAGGTTTTCCCGTGGAGAGTTTCGTCTGCTCTCCTGACTTGGTTTAGTCCTGTTAAGTGTTTAGAGGGAGAGCCTGGCTCGGCTCATCCTCAGCCTGTGCAGTGGTAACTGTTCTGTCAAACGCCTAGGGGTTCGGTACCCTTTGCATTCCGAAACTCATCCTAATGCCTTCTGCTCCCATCATCTGCGTTTGTTTACCATGAGATTGTTAGAAATGGTGACGAGGTGACAAGCTAGGGGGTGATGGGGGAATATTGCTAAAAGGTGATTGTAGTGGGTGCACTGAAAAGCAGCACATGTTTCAGTAGCGGTATTAACCTCATCATTTCACCGAGGAAAGCGTTTCTCAGCCATATTCCCTCTTGCTTTGACTTTTACTGGGATCTTCTGCTGAATTTGAAGTGGCTCGCAGGTTAAATAGCCAACTGAGAATTTAAGGGGTCGGACTTGTTCTCTTTGCTCCAAAACACAGCCTATGTCCTTCAGATGCAACAACACCATGGCTTGCCCACCCTGATCAGTTCGTATGCAGAGCTGACTTTTCTTCCGTGGGGATGCTTACCCATCGTGTTCTATAACCTCGTCACCAATATGAGTAGTTGAACATTTTCAGGATGCCTGTTTCAAGCCAGGAATGCCATCTCCGGGCTCAGAACTGAGAATGCAGGCTTCTCACAGTGAGGGCAAATCCACAGACATCCCCCTCTCCCTCTCCTCGTCCCCGTATCTGAACGAGGTAACTACTAAGCATGGCGTTCATCTATCTGGGTGTAAATTTTCTCAGTTTTCTCATCTGTAAATTGGGAAGAATTATAATGACTGATGGAGAATGGACATTAAGGCATGACTAAGAAGAATTTTGCTCAACACATGACAAATAAAAAGGCGCTGTAAAAATTCAGGCACTTGTGAAAGCTTGGGACACCACATAGTGGTGGAATGTTTCTGAAGTTAAAGATACTAACAAGTCAAGGGCACTATTTTTTTTTTTTTTTTTTTTTGTGGTACGCGGGCCTCTCACTGCTGTGGTCTCTCCCGCTGCGGAGCACAGGCTCCGGACGCGCAGGCTCAGCGGCCACAGCTCACGGGCCCAGCCGCTCCGCAGCATGTGGGATCTTCCCAGATCGGGGCCCGAACCCATGTCCCCTGCAACGGCAGGCGGACTCTCAACCACTGCGCCACCAGGGAAGAAGGGCACTATTTTTAAATGCCCCAAATCTGTTAGTTCTAAATAGAAACTGAATATTTTACCTTAAAGAAATTAGGCTTTTAAATTAATCTACGGTAAGAGTGACATTTGAAAGTAAAAAAAAAAAAAAAAATCCTCTTGAATGCAAGAAGAGCATCCAAAAATCTTAACAGCTTAAAATAAACCTCTTTCCTGTCTTCTCTCAAGCAAACTCCAAATGGACAGATTTCTGTGAATCTTTCCTCAAAACAATTTTCTTCTAAGTGTAGGCTCAAATCAGGACAAACTACAATCCAAATGTACTTGGAGAAAAGTATAATCAATTTAAACAACAGGTTGGAGCAGAGAAGACTTATACATCTTAATGGCAAAATCAGAAGGACTTTCTGAACAGCTGGAGATTAGGCTTCTCCTCCCTGTTTGTCCTCCTTCCAACTGTACTCAGACCTTACTGAGCTTGGATCCACTGGCTTCCTCAGGGTCACCAAGGGGCTATTCCAAGCTAACGCCAAGGCCTAGTCAGATGATGCTTATGGTAAAGTATAATACACAGGGCCCAGTGCTCTTTCTATTCAGCAAAACATTCATTTTACTGTAATGGGATTTCTGGGCTAAGGCCATTCTATGTAATCTTCCCCATAAGCTGTGGCAGAAAGCCAGGCATTGGGGGTCGGCATGCAGGAGCTCCAGGTCCTTCTGCACAGGAGCAGGCTACCTTCCTGCTAGGTAGGGACAGTATGCACATGTCTATGGGCGCCGTGCCACGCTATTTTCCAGTTCTTCCTGTAATTACTATTAGGCTGGAGACTGCCAGGCAAGAAGGCCAAGGATGTTACCATTTTGATGGTCCACTGAACTCAGTCCCTGCTTCTGACCCCCAAGTTTCTGTATAGAAGCAGCAGCTTTGTACAACTTACATGGGCTGCAGAGATTTGGAGCCTGTTATTTCTCATTTCGTTTTCTAGTGGCAGCTGGAGTGTGGTCTCAGCTCAGTCATGAGTAGAAAAAGGCTCCTTCACCCAAACCCCAACCCCTTGGTCATGTCCCTTTATCCAGGGACTATTATGATGAAGAAAGTAGGGAATGGAATGTCCCAGGCTCATTCACCTCTCACCCTTTTTGCAGAGTTACGTTTGCTTTGTCAGAAAAATAACAACGGGAGATTTAGAATCTCATTTCCTAATTAATAATTTTTGCTTTGTGGACAGGATAAATGGAGTCCTTTTTTGAAAATAAAACTGTCTTGGTCTTATCTTAATCCAAAGATGAATACGCCAGCTTTCTGCCTGACATCCACTGTGGAGATCAGTTCTGAGTAGTTGTCGGGTATCTCAAGACTAAAAGGAATATTCTTTCCGATCGGACTCCACGTGATTCCATTCCTTTCCATTGTCAACACATGTGTTTCTTTCTCTCTGAAGTACTGAGTTACGTTTCAGAAAATACCTCCTAAACCTGATTTATCATCTTTCTTAAAATAGAATTTGAAGAAGTGGGGACTCTCAGATTAGTGGGAAGACAGCAAAAACAAACAGCAACGGAATGATTTCAGTAGTGACAATCTCATTAAGCTGCCCGTTTCCAAATTTAGCCCATAGGCAGTTTTTTTAATTAAAAAATATTTTTAACCTAAATTCTTATTGGCTACGTGAAGTCTGGTTGGCTTCTGAATTCTTGGAAGCCATTCTCTTTTCTTCTGTAAATTTATGCTGTCCTTTAACCACTTCAAAATAAATTAAAAACTGGAAAGACAGAAATTCAGCCAAGCTACAATAACTCATGCAAAGCTGACTTGTGTTATGTAATCTCAAAATGGAAGTTTCCTTTTGAGGTCCATATTTGGTTGTTCAATTTTGTCATGGTGGAAGTACCATTATCCAGATCATGGGGACAAAAGAATAATTAGAAAACAGCAACACGGCTTCTGTTTTTGAGTCAATGTTATGAAAGAGAATGTGATGTAATTAATCAGCCTTTTGAGGCCAAATGGCTGGTCACCTGGTTTTGAAATACACTCTAGCTTTGAAAATATAGATGTTGGCTGACTCAAAATGGTGGCAAGTTACTTTTGGCTACTTTAGAAGACCAAACGGAAACAGCTTGCTCTGAATGTAAAAAAGCCCGAACCCGGGGGAGAAGCCTGCTCCCAGCACCGCGAAGACACCATCACCTTAGTGGTGTAAGTGGTGTACTCACAATCAGATGACCCGGTGTGAGCGTGAGAGTTTGTCAGTGAATGTGTTGAGTGGATGAGGGCTGGGCCTGGGGACAAAACAGCTTCAAAGTTCAGGCAGGGAAGGCCCGGCTTGGCGCTGGATCCACCCGGCTGAGTAATCTCATTCTCCTCAGATGCCTTCTGGTTTTCAGCTGTCTTGGGTTTCTTCCTGAAAATAAACAAAGGGCCCTTTGAAGGAACTGACTGCATATTTGGGAAAAGGCATTTTTAGAATCTGTTAAAGATAACTTGATTTTTTTTTTTTTTTTCTGAGGGGGGATGGGAGGGAGTCCAGTATGTCCCTTGTTTTAAAACAAGCTGATTCTTGTTTTTTTCCCTCCAGTAATGGCCTAACTGGGAACACATGAAAGCATATGGGCCAAGCAAACAGCACCACATTTGGACTCTGTTGGCTGCATAAAAAGACCCTGTCCCAGAACTTTAGACAGCTTGAGCTACGTATGGCTGACATTATCCAAGAAAGCATCCTTTTTTCCCCCCTTAAGAGTTTTAACATGGTCTGGAAAAATACTAGTGGAGGTTTTACCGTTCTAGCATTTGTCAGGAAGCTTAGAGACAGGACCCGTGGAGTAATGGGAGGAGCACTGGACTGGGAGTCTGGAGACTTGAGCTATGGTACTAGCTGTGCCTCTAACTTGCTGTGTGGCCTTGGGCACCTCACTTCACCTCTCTGGGCTTCAGTTTCCTCATCTGTAAAATAAAGGGCTTGGATTAGAAGGCCTTAAAGGTTCCTTCCAGTTTTCAGTTTCTAGTCATGGAACACATTATGTAACAGTCAACTTTCTTGCTGTTATTAGATTTTATTTTAGATCAACACATAATTTCAAATCACGATCTAAATTTGCAGGTTGTACAGATGAGAGGGGTAGTGATGAAAGGATTTGTTAAAGCAGCAAATGAAAAGTGAAAAGAAGAGCTTAGACTCCAGTAGGTAAAGAAGGAAGGTGTCACACAGAGATCCTCTATTCCAACTCTTTACCCACGTGAAGCTTAAGATTCCCTTTGTTTTTTGATTTAGTACATGATCCTGGAGTACAGGAGTGTGATTGTGTGTTTGGGACTGTGTGTTTGAAAAGAGATGGGTGAAGGGAATTGAAAGTAATTGTCACTAATTGTTGTTTGGGACCAGGAATAAGAAGTAAAACAGCTCAGCCATCAGTCAGCTCCTCTCCCTAGAACCATGCAACTGATGTAAATGAATAAATACTTAGCTTATGCTGCATGCACCCTAGGCCCTAGTCAAACCCAACTGGATTACTTGTCATACCCTGAACATCCCCCCCAATTTTCTTGGTTCTGTGCCTTTTTTATCATCATGTGTATGGTGAACAGAAAGAGTATTTTCTTTTATTTTTTTGGTAGGAGAATATGTGTGGTACAGAATTTGTTGTAAGTAGGTCTGTTCCCATGTTTCCCTTGTTTCTCTAAGCATGGCAATGGACTTGTTATACAGAATTTTTGTATTGAAATTTGTTGTACTGGGTAGTTAAATCTGCCCTTGCAGAATATGGTGTTATGATTAGCATGCTGTGTTTCTGGTCCAACAGGTTGTGAAATCAAATCTGCTTTTCCAGAGGGCAGGAGGCAGAGATGGCACGGTAAAGATGAAAATAGAAGGAGAGCTTTCAGACATATGTTTCAGGATGGAGGAAGCCAGTACAAAAGCAACAAATTGGATTCCTTTACCCACCCTTTGTTGAATGGGTGACTAAGGAACAAACCCCCAAATCTTGAGGGTCAACAACCTTCAAGG